GCTTCCTGTGGGGTTGGTGGTAAATGCAGATTACCTCTAGGAGTTGAGGAATAAGATTGAATACCTGCCTTATTCCTCACATTGGTGCTTACCTCTTATCAGTTTGTGTAATTCCTTGATGTCAGCTTTAGGTCTGTAAGGGTTCTACTTTATCCAGGTCACTTAGCTAGTAGTAAGTCACGTTACACTGGATTTGTTCTGATATGTTAAACTTTTCACAGTTTACCCAAGCTGGCACTTCAGCTGATGAGTGTCGGAAACATACCCTTGACATTGGATAACATGCACAGTCTTCTAAAACTATTGCTGTAGTGTGTGGTGGGGGCTTTTATCCTTTTTTTGCAAATCATTGCTGCTGATTACATGTCAAGTCAGCTGCATATTATTGCTCTGGCCTGTTTTTTTGATGTGACCACAGTGGGCCATGTAGTCTACCCCAGAGTCATGTGAGGGGACTACAATGTAGCAGGCCAACTGGGAGACGGGGACAGTGCAATGTCATCCTACAACCAAAGTGCCTCCACAAGGACCCCCACTGTTTTCCCTTTTCACACAGCACACCTACACTTTTTTTTATAAAACATTTTTTTGAGTTTCTAGTTTTTGTAGCAAGAATACAAATGTCACTTTATGGACAGCTTCTGTTCTGTGGCTTAGAATGGATGGCAGTGGGCAGATAAGGGACAGGCTGGAGGGACTCAACTGACAATGTATTAGTTACCACCCTAGCCTGGATATCTTTAAGGGGTATTAAATGCAAACAAATTTTTAATGAATCCAGATCAAACAATATATAGTCCAGCAATTTGCCTTAACACTTGGTCATTATGTTTCCAAACTGGCTCAAACTTTCTCAGCTTTGCCTCTCAACTTCCTGTCCAGATCAAGCTCACAAGATGGAGCGGTCTCCAGCAGCCATCAATCTACTAGCTTGGGAATGGGAGGGTGGTGGGTTGCCTTGCTGTGCCTGTGTTTTTGTGGAGACACAGAATACTAGCGCACACAAGGGTGGCTCCATAGGATCCTGCAAGGCAAACCACCCTAAAGCAGGAAATCGGGTCCAGTACATCGGGGACTAGCTAATTCTGCAGTAAGATCTTTCCTACATCAAGGGGCAGCATCTATTTTAAGTGATCTAATCAGCATTTGACATGGCTTAAACCTTTTGACTTTAACCCTTTAGGACAGTACTGCACATATAGTTTACAACTGATTATGTAATCTGCCAGCACAGTACAGACAGGGTTTATTATGGCAAAACGAACACCCCAGCTCCTGAGGCCATGTGTACACTTGGGTGATCCTGGGACTGCGTGTGCAGTTGCATACAGCGTCTGCCATGTGGCCCCATGTGATCAGTGGGCTGGCAATCACTGGAAAAAGGTACATGTGTGTTTTTTGGGGGGGTTTTTGACGAATATGCAAAATGTATGCAAGGGAACATCCAAAAACACATGATGTGGCATTGCATGCAGTAATGCAGAAAAGTACACTTTTTTTGACAGCTATACTTGAATCTATAGTTCTTACAGGGCCAACCAGATCTCTGTGCTCGGCAGCTATTATGTGGGGTTCACATGCCCTATGGTTTTCTTTTAGGATGTGAATGTGTGCAAATGGCCAAAATTGGGTTGGAACTCTTACCACCCAAGAGTAGCAATAACACGGCAGGGGAGTTTCAAGATCTCTGAAAACCTGCAAGGGTATCTGACTCTAACCATTCGCCACAATGCTTTGAGCCATCATACTGCCCTAATTTTAGTATGTGCTATTACAATGTAGCAGAGAATATTGCATATATGCTGTGCTGCCTTTATCTGCACATGGCTGTGGTTATCTTCTGACTCCTTGGCCTTCCCTCTATACATCTCTCTACAAAGATCTGCAGAGGTAGTCACAGAAGGGAAAACCAAAAACATGGGATACTATAAGTTTGTAAAACTTTGTGCTGCCATAGGCAGTGGCCCACTCATGTCATAGTAAATGCAGACCCACCTCTGTATAGCTGAAATATCACTTTGGGGCACTAAATTTTTTTTGAACTGAAGTGACAAGTGTGTTTTCTGTAAAGGTAAGACCTTAGCCTTTACTTTCTGCACTTCCGCTTGATTAGCTCAGCAAAACACAATTAATCTTTGACTTGTGCATAATGTATTGTTACTCAACATTGTCTGATTATAATAAGTTATTATTTGCCATTCCCTAAACCTAGGCATCATTTTTGCAGATTAGCAGGTCATAAACTGCCATGAGTTGCAGACATGTAATTTATTTAATCAGTTGCTACACTTTGAGACTGCATAAAAATATCTAATGACCAGACCCGAAGTAACAAATGCTGTATCAGTATTTTAACTCTGGGTATTAGTGAAAGACTTGTACATACACCTTACAATTATCTGCAGCTTTTCTGTGGTCAGATGGAAAGAGGGCAACAGATTGGCCCCGGTGGAGATTACTCCATCCACACAGTTCAGTGTAGATGGAGGAATCTGTTGCACCTTTTCCATCTGACCATAGAAAATCTGCAGATAATTCTAAGGTGTATGGCCAGCTTTAGATTGTGCTGAGGCATGATAAATCGCTTTGGCTGCATGCCAAACTCTTGAATCTAGATAACGCTAGTAGTCGGAACTTGAAATCTGGCATCTCTCCAGCATTTTAGTGACATTTGCAGCTGTAGAAGGTTCCCAAGACCTTGTTTCTGCTGGCTGGAGTTGCAGGTCCAATTATTTTGTATTGGTGAATGAAGCACTAGAAAGTAAGTTGGGCCTTGTATGTAGGTTTTTATAAACTGGGTTTTTGACTCCAAAAACTTTGACTCCCAAGATTTTTCACTCTGATAAAGCATGGGTGCTTTGTACAGCAGTTGTAATTCTAGGTGGGTTTTTTTGTGGGGGCACAGTCCACATACAAAGCCCAGTAAAATCGGGCTTCTCTACAGCTTCCCAGGGTCTGCATGAAAAAAATCTAAACAAGCTTGACTGCTACTGTTACAGCCAAAGCTTGTTTTACCCTTTCATTGCTAATGACATGCCTCTCACTGCCTGACAGTTTGAATAATTACTAAACCAAGAACAAAAATGTAATTTGCAGCCTACCAGTCATTGATGTAGGGACTGCATTACGTTCTGTTTTTCAGGGTTGAACATTTTAGCCAGAAAATTTCCTGTTGCTAGAAGTGCAACGTCCTTGTCATGTCCTGAGAGCTGAACCAAAAGCAAAAAGTTATCCAACTTCTGCAAAATGCTAATCTCTGCATCCCTAATGTAATGGAGATGAATAAAGGCAGGCATGTTTGTAGCCCAGAGTGGATGGCAACCATGGATCCTTCCATAGATAGTGAGTGTAGCCACCCATGGACAGGAAGTGGTGTTCACAGAATTAGAGGGAAAATGCCTGAAACAGAAAGCAAATGCAGCCTGATCTA